CTGGTGAAAAAAGCTATTTTGTCACTATCCCTGTTATCTCAGATGAGGAAAACGAGGCTCAGGGATCAACAGGGCAGTGGTCAGTCCTGCCTTTCAGCCCCTAGTGTTCACACAGACTCAGTCCTACTCAGTGTTGTCCTGACCTTACTACTCCGCCTCAGTACCACTGCCAAGGATCTTCCACAGGTGCGAAGGCTGCTGTGCTGTTGGAGCTGGGACTTATGGAGCCCAGCCCAGGAACTGTCTCCTACCTTGTCCTCAGCTCCATCCACTGCTGGCTGGGGGCCTCCAGGCGGGACAAACGGAGGCAGAGGCCTTGGGCAGGGAGCCCTGAGGCAGTGTCTAGTACATGAGTAGTCAGGGGACTGTTCTCCGTAGCCATGTTGCCGGCCTGGGCAGAGAGAGTAAGCGTGAGCACCGTGGCGCCAGTACGTATAGGCCCAACAGTGTCTTCGATCCAGTTGTGAGGAAAGCAAACAGAGCTCTACCGCCCAGAGGCAGGCTGAATTGCTGAGTTGCAGGATGGGGTGCCAAGTGCTAAACAAAGCTGACCTGTGCCCTTCTTTGCCCCTGCCTGGGCACCAACCTCTCTCCCTTGTATAAGCCCTTCAGTTTCAGCGCGCCAGTGGCTTTAGTGTCCCAGAACCCAGCTCTCCCGTGCCTCTGACTCCTAGGAACAACCCTGCTCCCAAGCTCCCACACCTTAAGTATCAGACGAGGCACAAGCCAACTCCTTACCTGCGGCCAGCCTAGGTGTCTTTGGAGCGTCATCAGCCGCGGGGCGGTCCTGGAACTCATGCCCTGCCCTGGAGGTCTGGTCTGTGCAGCTACCACGGGCAGTCACCCAGCCGGCCTCAACAAGCTCCTGAACCTGATCCACCCAAGGCCCCGCCCAGCTCCTGGGGCCACCATTTGAACACTTTTGGGAAAGCCACCTTCCCTTCCGCCAGATGAGCCCCTGGCGGCAGCCTGCTCGGTTTTGCGGCCGTAGGGGTGTTGATTTAAAAGAAAGGACCGGGTTGGGAGCACGCTGTGGGGAAGAAGTGGAAGGACCAGTCTAGGGAAGGAGGGTTGCTGAGGGGAGGGGTGGTTCTGAGAGAGGCGGTGCCACTGGGGCCTACTGCAAAGACTGGTGGGAAATTGGCTAGGTGGCTGGGTCAGGGAGAGGGAAATAGTTGAGTGGTTAAAGCACTGAGGATGTTCAGAGCCATTTTGATTTGCATTCTTGATGACTAAGGACGTTGAACATTTCTGGAAACAGCCTAGAAGTCCCTCAACAGAAGAATGGATAAAGAAAATGTGGTACATTTATACAATGGAAGACTAGTCAGCTATTAAAAACAACGACATCATGAAATTTGCAGGCAAATGGATGGAACTAGAAAATGTCATCCTGACTGAGGTAACCCAGACCCAGAGAGACACACATGGTATGTACACACAAGTGGATATTAGCCACAAAGTACAGAATAACCACGCTATAATCCACAGATCCAAAGAACTAGGCAGTAAGGAGGGATCAAGGGTGGATAGACGAATCACACTCAGCAGGGGGAATAAAATAGACATTGGAGGTGGATAGAGGGAGGGAGCCAGGTGGAACGGGGTGGGGAGGTGAACAGAGGGATAAAGCGTGAGGAGGACTGAGGGAGAGAGAACTGAGAGAAAGAAAAGAAATTGGTGGTGGTGATGGGCAGCTCCGGGATGAGCCACTCCCCCGCCCCTGGGTTCCACTCTTTTCCTGTAAGTCAACACCCTTCATGTCCCAAAACTCAGCAGCTTTCCCCAGAGGATTTGGCAGAAGGTGGCTTTCCCAGACCTGTTCAAATAGGGACAAGGGAAACTCCCAGGAATCTATGATCGTGACCCTAGCTAAGACTCCTAGCAACAGGGGATGTGGAACGAACCTGATATGGCTGCCTCCTGTAACCAAGCAAGACTTCCAATGGAGGGATGGGGACACCAACCCACCCACAAAACTTTTAACCCAAAATTTGCCCTGCCTACAAGATATGCAGGGATAAAGATGGTGCAGAAATTGAGGGAACGGCCAACCAATAAATCGTCCACTCTGAGACCCATCCCATGAGAGAGAGCCTACCCCTTATTGATATTCTGCTATGCTTGTAGACAGGGACCTAGCTAGCATAACTGGATGAGAGGCTTCACCCAGCAGCAGATGGAAATATATGCAGAGATCTACAGCCAAACATTAGGCGGAGCTTGGGGAATCTTGTGGAGGAAAGGGAGGACTGAAGGAGCCAGAGAAGTCAAGGACACCACGAGAGAACCTACAGAATCAACTAACCTGGGCCCATGGGTGCTCACAGAGACTGAACTGCCTCCCAAAAAGCACGCATGGCGTGAACCTAGGCTGCCTACATATATGGATGTGAAGCTTCGTCTTCATGTTGGTCTCTGAACAGCTGGAGTGAGGACTGTCTCTAACACTGCTGCCTGCCTTTCCCTAACTGGGCTGCCTTGTCTAGCCTCAATAGGAGAAGATGCACCTAGTCCTACTGCAACTTGATATGCCAAGATGGGTTGTTATCCACAGGAGGCCTCCCCTTCACTGAGGAGAAGGGGAGAAGAGACTGAGAGGAGAGGAGGGAGGGGAAGCCATGATTGGGATGTAAAGTAAATAAAGAAATTAATTAATTAATTCATTGGGGTGGGGGTGGGGCAAAACACTGAGGAGGAGAGTTCAAATCCTGGAACCCAGGAATTGTAACAGTGGAAGTTGAGAACTGACTTCACAAAGTTGTCACTTGATTTCCACGCAAAGAGCTGTGACACCCTCCTCCCCGACCCCCCAGTCACACATATAATACGGGGTTAATTTTTGAATAAAATTGAGGCATTAGTTGGCCCAGGTTAGCCTTCCTGCTGCTAACATTTGATAAGGCCACACTGAAGACGGCAGGAAAGGTTCCTGGTCTTGACTGCTCAGGGTTCATGTGACCTTGCCTCAGTTTCCTCACGGGTATAGAGCTGGAAGCACTCCCAGTATGGTTGAGGTTCCAAGCAAAGCTCTTTGACTCTTCAAGACCCTCTGCCCATTCTCCGTTTTTGGTGCAGTTGGGTGGGAGGGCAAGGCTGTCTGACCCCGTGCCTCTACCCTAACTCCTCTGTGACAGGGCTCTACGGCATATAGAACACATTCTCAAGGTATCATGTGATCTATAAGAACAAAAGAGGGCTGCTGAGATGACTCAGCAGGTTCTCAAGGTATCATGTGATCTATAAAAACAAAAGAGGGCTGCTGAGATGACTCAGCAGGTAGGCTTTTGCTGGCAGGCCCGATCGCCGGAGTTTGATCCCAGGATCCTACAAAGTGGCAGAAAAGAACTGACTACCCTGAGTTGTCATTTTATCTCCCTGATCACTGCTGTCCAGAGAAGATGCTGAGAGGCTCTCCTTAGAATATTCCCTAGAAGAGTCAATGACCACCTTAGACATGACAGGGTAAACTGAGGTAGGGTGTAGAGTTGGCGATGGATCACACTCAGCACACTTTTCTCTGAAGGAGCAAAGCTTGATTTTTTGGGGGGCCAGCGAAACACTCCCTGGGACCATCAGGAAATTCGATGGGGCTGATGGCACACTCCCTGGGGCTGGCGGTAAACCCTTAGGAGCCAGGGAAAAGGGTGAAGGAAAAATCACACACACATGCGCACATGCATGTACACTTGATGGCTGAAGCACGCTCCAAGAAACTCCAACAACTTTACATACATACACATATGTACATTTGGTGGGTGAAGCAAAGCTCTGACCATTTTATGCAGTTACATACATACACATTCGATGGATGCAGCAAAGCACCAACAACTTTATTTTTTTCTCCCACAGTTTATATATCCCAGCAAAATCTTTCAAGGAGTTAAAAAATCACAATGTGATTACATTCTATTTTTCTTTAAGTGGACAATTACAGTGAGTATACATAAGAAAAAAAATGTTCCCCAATACCCTTACATGATCAAATGTTTTACTTATTATGGATAAAAAACCCAAATTATTCTCAAGAACTCACGTGTGTAACTAAGCAATTTGCTATAGATTAATAAAGTATGAACAAGCAAGGTAATTTTCTCAGTCAGTTTCTTCTATTGGCAGGTTGCAATTTGCAGTTACAAAGAAAAGATCAATTCTTTTATTATTTATCTTAAAAAATAATCTTATAAAAAAATCTTAAAAGAATCACAAGTCTAAACTTTTATATAAAAAACAATCAGCCATTTCTACTTTAAATCCTCAGGGTGCACATTGACTCTTTAACAACTTTTTATTAAATCATATCAGGAAGCTGAGGGTAAAAATGGATACAAGAAATTAATCATCACCTTGCTTGCCAGCCCAGCTTTAGCAAGAGAAGCAGGTCAGGTAGTGCTAGTTGGTCTGCCATTGTTCTTGTTCCCTGACCTCAAAAAAATCCCTAGCTCAGCTATTAAGAGTGTGCGTTTCTAATTGTTCCCTAAGGTTTTCTATGTCAAAGCCACTAGCAAAAACATCTTAACCTAACTTTACTGGCAATCTGCTTCTCCAAATTCTTTCTAGCGGTGGTGGATGAATCATTCATCTGCTTTAGTAGTAATGTTTGAAAAAGATCAATCACCACTATTTTGAGTACCAATAATGTCCTCAGGGCATGTAGTCCTTGGGGCTATGCCTCTCTGAGCCACACCCATCATGATTGTGCTAAATGGTGGACCACATTTCATGAGTTCTAAAGCTGTGCTGTTGTTCCTCTTGCAGGGATCCCAACATAGAAGGATGCAGAGAAAGTTGGAAGCGGTGGCCATTGCCCACGATGAGCCTTTGTGGGCTATGACCCTTAGCTTTTCTCTTTACCTTTTGTGCTCTTGGCACTTTTTCTTTTAGATTCACTTATTTCTTATTTTATGTGTATGGGCCATTTTGCCTTCATGTTATGTCTGTGTGCCACATGTTTACAGAAGCCAGAGGAGGGTCATTGATCCTCTGGAACTGGAGTCACAGACCACTGTTAGCTGCCATGTGGGTGCTGGAAACCAAACCCAGGTTCTCTGCAAAAGCAGCCAGTGTTCTTAACTCCTGAGCCATTTCTCCAGCCCCTGTTGGCACTTTTTCAATATGGAACCAGATCACTTCTTGTAAAGTCTTAAATGTAAGTAAACTACAACACAGCAGTCAACTCCTTTCGAAAGTTCTTTAAACTCTCTCTAAAAGAGGCCTAATGCTGTCTACTTGGAGGAAGAACCAGATGTTGTAGAATGGGGTGTGGGAGGGTTGCAGAACACTGCAGCTGTTCTGGACCTCCTGGTACCTGGCCCTTTTAAAGAACCAATCAGGTTTATCACACTGAGACTTCCCAAAATTTCCCCAAAGAAGGCTCTGCATATCAGAGCTCTGTGGTGCCGGCAGGCGAATTTGAAAGAGTCCTCATTATTTGTGTATCAGACCCACGGTCCTGTGCGTGCTAAGCAAAGGCTTTCCACTGAGCTTTACTCCCAACTCTGAGACCTCACTTTTAAGGGAATTAGCTATCAAAATTTGTCATAATAAACACTTGACCCATCTTTAGATGCAAACAAAGAATAATAAAATGTGAAAAAGTTTGAAGAAATTGAAAAACATTCAAAATTATAAAGGCATCTACAGAATAGATATAAGATGTCTAGTTACAGTGTACTGTCAGATATAGGTCTTATAAACAGAAAGAAATACTTGGAGTTGGCAATTCTTCTCCCATAGCGTATTATGGTTTAATTACTTATCAAGGGGCTAGGAAAACAACACTTGCCTAACAAGAGCAAGGTCTGGAAAAACCTCAAAACACAAACAAAAAAAAAATAAGATACACATGTCTGGATCTTTTCCATTTTTCCAAATTGAAACCACCAAATAGAAGCTTGTTATTAGGGAAAAATTTCAAACATCCAAAACCGGAACCAGTACTGCAATGAGCACTGAGCTAACATTACTTTGTATCTGTCTATGTAACTGTCAGTATTGGTTTTCTATTACTGCAGAACAAGTTTCTCTATACTTTGCCATAACACAGTATATGTCTCTCTGCATTTCAGGAAGCCAGGAGCCCAGCTTGGTTAGATCTCTGTTCCAGGGTCTCACCAAGACACATTCTCATACAGAGACTTCCAGGGAAGATCTGCTTCCAAGATTGCTCAGTTGTTGCAGGAATCTTTCTGGATCAGCACTCTGACAACAAAGAGCATGGAATTGAGAGGATGTTATCAGCACAGTGAAGCCAGGATACCTCTTGAAAAGCTTTGACAGGTCTAGTCTGTATTCTCATTTTATACTCTAAGACCACAAGGTGGGGTGGGCAAGCAAGCAAGATTTTACAGAAGCCTATATGGCAGTCAGCAGGTTGTTCACAGCAAAGACCCAGTGTTTTAGCTACTTCTCCAGGTCATTTTGTTCCAGGTAGCAAGTGAAATCATGCTTGGCAAATGGGCAGTATAAGTAGTGCTTTAAGTAAATCACCACATAATTCAACAAACAGTATCTGTACTTTGACATTTTCTACCTTATTCTACTTCCCAGTTTGTTGGCAGGATTCATTTCCTGTGGGTGTCAGATGGAGGCTTCTATTTTCTGGTTGGCTGGCGGCTGGAGAGTGTTCCTGGCTCTTGCCCATGGCTCCCTCCACAGGCTGTTGACACTGGTGCTGGATTCTCCTGGCAGGAAGATCTTTGGCTTCAGATAAGAGAATCTTATACAACATCACCACAGAAGTAACATCATGCCATCTGTATTGTGTTCTCTTGGTTAGAAGCACACCCACTCTCAAGGAAGAGATTATGCAAGGGCTTGCCTCACTGGAGTCACCACACTGTCTACTTATCCATCCTCCTCCCAGCCACGCCCCCTTCCACCATCCATCTCTTGACTAATTATGACAATAGGTGAATTATTAACACTTGAAAATGGCCAATGTCAGGGCTCTGCTCCTCAACATCCACATGCATTTCCCAAAGAACCTTCTCATATTCTGTTAGAGTAGCATTTCCTCACATGGGAAACTGGACAGCAAATTCCAGTATATCCCTAATGCCTCTTAAACAGATAGCCCATCATTTAAAAATTTTTGTTGGTATTTGTTTTTACTTTTTAAAATTTTGATACACTTCCCTTCCTTTTCTCTCTCTCCAAACTCCGTACACTTCTCCTAACTCTCCAAATTCATGGCATCTTCTTCCATTAGTTGTTAATGCATGCACAAATGTATATACGTATATATTTCTAAGTGTAACATGCTCAGTCTGTCTAATGTTACTTGTATGTATGTTTCCAGGGCTCACCATTTGGCACTGAGCAACCAGTTGGCGTGCTCTTCCCTGGGGAAGACCACCTCTCCCATTTCTAGCTTTCCTCAGTTGCCTATAGTTCTTTGTGTAGGGTTGAGGTGGGTGGAGGGAGGGATCTGGGTGGGAGAGCGGGTGAGGAAGGGAATGAAGATAGTGATCAGGTGTGGGGAACCGGTGGCAGAGGTCTGGGAGTGAGTATGGGAACCATAAAGGCTGTTTTAACGTAGTTCCCTGTCCTTCAGCTATGTTGGATATTCAGGGCCTGCTGAGGTGCCTTTAGTGGTGACATGCTGCCATTGTTGTTGTTGTTGATTGTGTTCTTTTGCTGGGTTTGGGATGAATAAAGATCTAGCTGCTGATCTCTGGATTTATCTTTTTGGGTGGGTGTTTTGTTCCTTGGTTTCTGTTTCCTCTCTGAAATTATCTAGCTTATGTTAATTGAGGTGGAAGATGCATTCGGAATGTGGTGGCATTACCCCATGGCTGGTGTCCTGGAGTGAATGAGAAGGAGACAGTGAGCTGAGCACCAGTGTCCATCCATCTCTGCTTCCCGACAGCAGATGCAGCATGGCCAGCGGCCTCACACTCTGGCTGCTATGCCTGGGCCACAATGATAGACTTCGTTTTGAACAGTAAGCCATTCCCCCACTTTCCTTTCTTAAGTTGCTTTAGTAAAATATTTTGTTGCAGCCACAAGGAAAGTAACTAATGCACTATGTTATTTATGTCAGGGTAAGGAGTTGACATCTAGAACGTCAAAAAATCAAAATCTAGCAAAAAAAAAAAAAAAGAAAGGAGGATGAGGTGTGGTTAAAACACAGGTGTGCTGGCTAGGTTTATGTCAACTTGACACGTGGTATAGTTATCTGAGATGGGGAAACCTTGATAGAGAAGACACCTCCCTAAGATCACCAGCTCTTCCCTCCAAGTTCCTGCTTGAGTTTCTGTCCCGACTTCCTTCATTGATGAACTGTGATGTGGAAGTGTAAGCTAAATAAATTCTTCCTTTCTTCTTTCTCCTCCTCCTCTTCCTTCTTCTTTTTTTGGTTTTGATCTTTTCAAGACAGGGTTTCTCTATGTAACTGTCCTGGCCGTCCTGGAACTCACTTCATAAACCAAGCTGGCCTCAAATTCATCTCACCAAGATTCACCTGCCTCTGCCTCCTGAGTGCTGGGATTAAAGGCATGTGCCACCATCTCCCAGCTTCAAGTTACTTCTGTTCACGTAGTTTTATTACAGAGAAAGTAACCCTGACTAAGACAGTAGGCAATAGGTTTAAATAGATACATAGAAGAAGGCATGTAAATGGTCAGCTTGTAAATGGAAAACAAACAAACAAATGCAAAACAGTCAACACAAGTCATCATCACTCCTTGATGGAACGCAACTCAAACTCACAGTGAGACATGACATCACCTCAGCCCACTAAAGATGGCTATAATTTAAAGAGAAAAGTGGCATGTGCCAAAGAGCGTGTAAATAGAAGGAGAACCATTCTCATTGTAGGGTGGACTGCAGATCAATAGGAGTGTGATGCATAGTAAGTTCTTCAAACTAGAACCTTCATAGTTCCAGCAATTCTACTGTGGGATATATAACAAAAGGAAATGGCATCATGGTGCCTGGGATACGTCTTCATGGCCATGTTCCTTATAGCACTACTCACAATCGTCAAGAAATGGAAACAACCTAAGAGCTTATCATCTGATGAGTAGATACAATGTGCTGTAAGCACAGAAGGGGATACTATTCAGTCATACAAAGAATGAAAATCTGTTATTTTAACAACATGGGTGGAACTGGAACTTTTGTAGAATGTCATCTTCCATGCTAAGCAGCTGCCACTTCCCCTGGATTTCTTTATAAGAATCGATGATGATTAGGATCATGGACTGTTGATATTCACACACAGGAGGGGGGGGGGAGGGAGGGTTGTTGGACCCTCACCTGAGTTTGCAGCTATGCCTATTAGCCATTGGCAGGTAATCCTGCCCTAATTGCATATGGCCTCAGTGAGGTGCTAGAGTATTTAGGCTGGGGAATGTTAACAGAGCAGGTCCCATTCATGTAGCCATCAGGGAGCTATCATCTATACTGGGTGCAAACTTTTCAGTACAGATGCTTTGTGTTCACCCATAATCCTGCCAGCAATCCTGTACTCATGCTTCATAACTGAGCCCAATAAACTATTGGTTTCTCAGGATGTACTTTAATGGAATCTTACTTTGGTTTGTTGTTTGAACGTATGAGGATGGGGTTAGACATGGTTGCTTCACACCAGGGAAGGAGAGGATGGGGTTAGACATGGTTGCTTCACACCAGGGAAGGAATTTCACTCTCTTATCTCACTCATATGTGGAAGTCTAGGAAAGTTGGTTTCATAATAATGAATGCTACAATGTTGTTTATTGGAGTTCAGAGATAATTGGCAGGGTAGAGAGAAATTATTATTTTGATAGAGGAACAAGAAATTTTGCAGTGTTATTCCTCATTAAGGTAACTTACATGTAACAGTCATGCAGTATGAAATCCAGAAAGCTTGAAGAGCTTTGAAAGCTGTCACCATAAATAAATGATATTTAAAGAGGTGTGGTTATACATCACATAGTGTAGAAACTTGTCAAAATATGACTTGTTATCTCATCATTAATGAGTATACACATGTTATGCATATATACACATGTTATGCATACTTCTCATGTATCAGTTAAAATATACTTGAAAAGTGGGTTTCAACCACAACTGCAAAAAAGGTTTTCACTAGATTGAAATCAGAGCCTAAGTGATGTTCTTTTTGATATGTATCCCCATCTGCAGTGGTCTGAAGGAGAATGGCCTCCATGGGCTCATGTATTTGAATAATTGATCCCCAGTTGCTGTAACTATCTGAGTGCAAGGCTTCTGCCAATCCTAGTTAGCTCTCTCTGCCTCACGGTTGTGTTTCAAGATATAAATTCTCAGCTACTGCTCTAACACCATGCGTGCCTGCCTGCTGCCATGCTCCCCACCATGATGGTCATGGATTCTAATCCTCTGGAACTGTGAGCCCCAAATGCAATGGTTTATTTTATAAGTTTCTTTGGTTATGGCGTTCTGTCATGGGAATAGAAAAGTAACTAACACAACACACCATCAACTAAACATTAATGGGTTAGAACTTTTTTTAAATTTAGAACCAATTGTTTTTAAAACAGAATCAAAATTTCAGCTTTCTCCATATATGTGAGATCATTTGCTATTACTTATTTTTCAGGTAGTTGCTAGTGTGATAGCTACGAAGTTATGTGCCATAGTGGTTTTACCTTGACTTTCTCTAAAGTTTATTTATTTGAGAAACTTTTAAATTGACTGGTGGCCATTTGCCTGTTTCTTCTAATTTTAAAATGTGAATAGGAGAAAATTTAAAATTGACACTGGGGCTCACATTGTATGTGTTTGACATCCCTGCATTGAGGGTTTGCCTCTCACTTCAAAGCTTAAGTTGCTTCCCGATAAAACATGTACTCACACAACACTTTTGTCAAAAAAGTATTATTAAATTTTCACTTGGGTCCACATGAAATAAATGCAGAGCAAATAAAAGCCTGGCAATTCTGCTTTCAATTTGTATCTACCCCCTTTACACATCACTTAGCTTTTACAATGTCCTGTTCCAGCTCCCAAGTCCCACTAGTACCTCTCTTTGAATTCCAGAAACTACAGGACTGATAAACACCTCTAAGGAATAAAAATTACTTCCAAGCAATTGAGGGACCTAAGATAGACCATCTCCAAATGAGGGCAGTTGAGATTCTACAAAGAAGCAAGAGTCAGAATGCAAACCAGATTGGTCTTCTAAGACCACCTTGCAGAACCCAAACTGATCACTAACCCCAGCACGCTTGACTGCTAGGGATGGTTAATTATACACACCTGCAGTTCACTGCCCCTATTTTTCTCTAGTTAAACCTAAATCTCACAAAGACAGTCTTGAGGGACCACTGGAACTCTTATCATCTGGAAGAACAACCAGTACTCCTAACCTATGAGCCACCTCTCCAGCCCCTTGTTTTATGTGAGTGTTCAGGGAATGTGTGCACTTAAGTGCAGTGCTGGAGGAGGCCAGCAGAGGACTGGAGTCATGGGCAGCTATGAGGCGTCAGGAACAGGCCTAAGGTCCCCTGAAAGAGCCAGTGCTAATTCTTAACCTCAGAAGCCACCTCTTCAGAGCTTTTTAACCTTTACTCGCCTCTTTAGTTGTTTACTGTAACACCAGAGACTGGAAAAGTTAAGTGAATTTTAAAGATAACTATCATCATATTCTTCTGTGTGACTATTTACAGATCATTTACATATCCATTAACAAATTGATATGACTATGTAACATTAAATTAAAATGTCTTTTGATGTCCTCCTGGTGGAAAATCTGCCCTAACATAGCTGCTGCCAGAAGTCCTGGGCTCAATCTACCCAAACCAAATTGAAATTGAAACCCAAACCCAACACAAACTAGATCAACAGCAATCATTTATTGTCATCCTAAACTAGAGGAATTGGGCCTGGAGCCCTGTCCAATCAGAGGTGTCGTTTGATAACTGTCCAATTAGGAACGTGGCCAGAGAGGTGGGCAGGCTCTCAAAACCTCACGGGCTTTCGCTGGAGCTGGCCACCTTTGGCACCTTTGGGAGCTCCTGTTGTTCTGTTACAGAGGCATTGAGCTTGTTGGGTGTCTTGTCACCCTGTGACCTGGTCCCAGAGGCATACGTAGGGGCCCGGGATACTTCGGAAGCAAGGAGATGGTGAGTGTCTGTCTGGCGTCTCCGCAGGTCTCCCTTGGAGTCTGCCCCAGAGGAGTGGGGTCCAAGTCTCCTCTGTTTTGGGGCAGGGCTGTGCAGATAGTGGGAACTCTCGGCCTCATCTTGTCCCTTTGTAGGGTGGTGCTAGGCAGACAGTGGGGGTCCCTGGTAAAGCTGTTAGTTGCCTACACTGAGTAGTGTGGTCAGATCCTGCTGAGTGAGTCATCTCTGGGCGGTTGTGTTCCTGCAACACACTTCAGATGTGTGTTGATCGTAGTGATCTCAGAAGTGGATCCCTATTGGCTTGTGTGGTTTCCTTCAGCAGCTGGGCAGGACAGGTCCTGGAGCCAGATAATTGCTGCTTTCTGCCAATTTGTTCTACATAGCTTGATTAAAACTTCATTCACTTGGTTAATGTGCTATCGGCCAGATTTTCCATTATATTGTTAACTGCTTTTCTCTTTATCTTGTGGAATTAACATTTTTATTGTTGCTATTTTATGTATACGAATGCACACTCATAAATATGGAGTGCTTGTTGTGGAGGCCAGATGAGGTCATTGGAGCTCCTGGATTAGGGGTT